CAGTACTGCTACTGGAATACTGCAGTAATACTGCAGTACTGCTACTGGAATACTGTTGAAGATTGATGTGATCAGTGCCAGTGATCAGGGATTTTTGATCAGTCTAATTGAACAGTGATTATTGAACAGTGATTATTGAACAGTGATTATTGAACAGTGATTATTGAACAGTGTAACTGATTGATCAGTGATTGTTACCGGTCTCCTGGGGGGAGGACGACTCGGCAGGATTAGGTGGAGCCATCCGAGGAGCTTTGGGAGAAGCAGTGGAGTCATCAGGAAGAACTGAGCCTGAAACCAGACACGGACAACGTTTACCTGGTTTTACTGTGGCGGGATATGAACCAATGAGGCAGCAGATGGAGGTGGTGATGTCAGTAAATGTGTCACAGGTCAGCTGTAGTACCTGGCTGTTCCACCAGGTGGAGCCTGATACTCTTTAATGCTGTAGAGACCAGAGGAGGTTTATCTTTAATACTTGTGCTGATGGTGAAGTTTTACTGGTCGGGTCGCCGGTGGAACCAGTTCTACGGTTTTATGTTCAGCGTGCAGCACTTGGGTTCAGCTCCTGCTTTGTGCTTTACAGACAACAGCAGCTGGTTGGTGGAACCAGCAGAACCCTCTCTGTCTGCTTCGGGTCAGGAGGAGTTTCAGGTTACAGGTCAGACAGTCCTGCAGAGCTCACTGTGCCTCCTTCACCTCCTCAGCGCCGTCGGGTTTACTGACCCACAGCTGCTGCATCGCGTCCACACGTCCTTCTCTGTAAACACCTTCACCTCCTCNCTCACCTGTGCAGGTACGGACAGGTGTGGTGCTCACCTGTGCAGGTATGGACAGGTGTGGTGCTCACCTGTCCATAACTGCACAGGTGAACATGGGGGTCTGGGGCTCCGGAGCAGTGGATATGGGCTGGTAGGTGAATTTAGCTCCCAAACTGTTTGCAGTGTTTATGCTAAGCTAAGCTAGCAGTTTCTGCAGTGAATCAGAAAAGTGTGAAAACATCGAGCTCTCAGTGTTCTGCGTGTTTAATGCAAATAAAAGCACAGATGAATGAAGTGATGATCAATAAAGACATTGATCTCTGCTGCTGTGTGAAGGGAAGCTGACATGTTTTACTCGCTCATTGACCACAGATCCTCTTCATAAAACATGAACCCCGGAGGCTCCTCAGGCCTTCTGCTGAGGTGTGGGGCTCTCAGGAACCGACAGAGAGTCCAGAGAGGACAGCTCGTCTGAGTCTGGAAGCAGCTCCTCCTTATCGCTGGGGACAGAAACAGAGTTGGTACAATTATTTCTGTTCTTCCTCTGATGCTTCTACTGTTCAGCAGAGATGTTTAACAGTCATTACACAGTCCTGTCTGTCTCCTAAACAGTCCACCATGCAGAGGACCCTTCAAGACAACCTGCTGCTCGTCTTCGGCCTGATGGCGGCACTGCTGCGACCACGGACAGGTTCTTTTACCGGATGTTGCTGACAGCAGGCGGCGGCATGTTAACGTTACCTGACGGAGGACGGGCGGCGGGAAAGACGGTGGCGTCTCAGTGTGATGAAGACGAGCGTCGCCAGCAGCAGAGCGGAGATGATGGCCAGCGTGACGAAGAGGAAGAAAGCTGCAGGAACAAGAAGACGAAGGGCTGAGGATCTGACGTGGAAAGACACTCAGACATGGTGACAAAGATCCTCAGTCTTAAACCCCTGAGCTCTGGTTGGAGGTCCTGAACCTCCTCAGAGTCTCTGTCATGGTCCCGTTGCTGCTACACTCCCACAATGCTCTCTGCTGCCACCATGACTGTAGTCTGAGCTCAGGACTGATTTGTTCTGATGAAGGAAAACTCACCCGCAGTCCAGCGGTTCCTGGTTTTTCCTCGACCGTCAAAGCGACCTGAAAGAGAAGCAGAGCAGCTCAGAGTTCATCTCCACAGTCTACAGAGGTTCTCTGGAGCTTCACTGGTTGAAGCCTTTGTACTGGGAGGGGCCCAGTATGTGTTCAGTCTGATGCGGGCCGTTTACCGTCTTCGCTGCAGCGGCTCATACATTCCTCCACCGAGCCGTACCGGTTCTCGTTGCCCTGGCAACCACCATACATGAATGACTGACAGGAGGCGGAGTCCGGGTTGTAGTAGAACATGGGGAAGGCGGCTCGGCAGGGTCCAGGGTCTGGGCCCACCAGGCAGTGATCTGGGACAGAACATTTACTGGATTCATTCACTGGTCCTGTACAGAGCAGGCGTTTGCTGCAGCGCCACCTTCAGGGCGACCTGAACACTGTCTGGAACACCTCACCTCTCAATGCAGCCAACGCTTCATCGGCAGCAGCAGCATCTGAGACTTTCTTAGAGGACGGCAGGACAGTGACTGCAGGACAACACAAACACAACACACAGGTGAGCAGACTGTCTCACCTGAGCAGGTACACACAGGTGCAGTACTCACCTGAGCAGGTACACACAGGTGCAGTACTCACCTGAGCAGGTACACACAGGTGCAGTACTCACCTGAGCAGGTAGCCACGCAGTGCTCCTCGCTGACGTAGTTGTTCTTGTTTCCCTTGCAGCCTCCGTAGGTGAACTGCTGACAGCTACCTGCCTCCCTGTTGTAGTACCAGCGTCTGAACGCCGCCCTGCAGGGACCCACCTGAAGCTCCGCCTCGCAGTGCTCTGATTGGACAACAAGCGCTTTGTTTACATTGTGTTTAGTGACTTTTAAAGCTGTTGTGTTCATGTGAACAAGACGTTACGTCAAACTGTGATTGAAAGCAGCATCTTCCCGATTTCTGGACAGTCACAGAAAGAACGACGTACCTGCGTATTCCTCAGCAGACATTTCTGTAGGAGACAAACAGCAGCGTTACACCTTTAATACAGCCGATGAGACACGCCCTCATACTGCAGTACTACTACTGGAATACTGCAGTACTGCTACTGGAATACTGCAGTACTACTACTGGAATACCGCAGTACTGCTACTGGAATACCGCAGTACTGCTACTGGAATACCGCAGTACTGCTACTGGAATACTGCAGTACTGCTACTGGAATACTGCAGTAATACTGCAGTACTGCTACTGGAATACTGCAGTAATACTGCAGTACTGCTACTGGAATACTGCAGTAATACCACAGTACTGCTACTGGAATACTGCAGTAATACTGCAGTACTGCTACTGGAATACTG